AGGGAGTCTTAGATTGACTATAGTATATGAACATAGTTTAAGAACATGAGCTAATAGGTTTATTGTCTCTTCCACAGTAGTAATACAAGGCACACACAGCTTTCATGGACTTGCAATTGCTCTCTGTCTGAACACGGAACTAAGGGGACCCAAGGAGAAGCATGTGTTCTACAGGATATGCTGGGGTAGAGTAGGAGGGCAGCAGACAAGGAGAATCTTCACAGAAGGGAGGGGTTTGACTTGGGCATTGGGTATTCTGGAAATAACTGAGTAGAGAGAACATGGCTGCTTATTTTCATTTAATTAAGAACTTCAGGAGCTGGTGCTGTGGTATAATTGGTAAAGCTGCTGCCTGCACTGCCAGCATCCCATATAGGCACCAGTTTGAGTCCCGGCTGCTCCACTTCCAAACCAGCTCTCTGCTGTGGCCTGGGAAAGCATCATAGGATGGCCCAAGTCCTTGGGCTCCTGCACCCATGTGGGAGACCTGGAAGAAGCTCCTGGCTCCTGGATTTGGATTGGCACAGCTCTAGCTGTTGTGGCCAACTGGGGAGTGAACCAGCGAATGGAAAACCTCTCTCTCTCTCTCTCTGCCTCTCCTTCTCTCTCTGTGTAACTGTGATTTTCAAGTAAATAAATAAATCTTAAAAAAAATAAACTTTAGTGATGAAATAACCCTTTCAGAAACATTACATATATTGAGAGAGACATTTCTTTGAGAAAATATTTGGTAAATCTTTTTTTTTAATATTAGGCAGAGTTAGTGAGAGAGAGAGAGAGAGAGAGAGAGACAGAAAGGTCTTCCTTCTGTTCGTTCACCCCCCAAATGGCCACCACAGCCGGTGTGCTGCACCAATCTGAAGACAGGAGCCAGGTGCTTCCTCCTGGTCTCCCATGTGGGTGCAGGGGCCCAAGCACCTGGGCCATCCTCCACTGCTTTCCAGGGCCACAGCAGAGAGCTGGACTGGAAGAGGAGCAACCGGAACTAGAACCCGGCTCCCATATGGGATGCTGGTGCCGCAGGTGGAAGATTAGCCAAGTGAGCCATGGCGCTGGCCCCAGTAAATCATTTTTTAAAAAGACATTCCCCCCAGCACAACAAGACAGCTTTGTCGAAAAGGATCTTTGCAAAGCCTTAGGAAGGCTCTGTAATCTGCAGACACAGGACCTTGTAATTTATAGCAAGGATTTGGAAGTTAATTTGAGAAGAGTGGGAACCACTGAGGGACTTTGGCAGAGGTAATAATCTAATTTATGTTTAAGTGGATCACTCTAGGGGAAAGAGGCTACAGAGAGGCAAGTGTGCGAACAAAAAATGATGATGTGATGCTGGTTTGTGGTAGGTTAGAGAAGGAAGAGATGGGCTTGGTATTATATATCGACATCTGAGCTGACTGCAGATGATATAATAAAAGGAAGAAAGGCATAGAAATTACTCCAAAGTATTCAGCCTGTGCAGCTTGCAATGGTGGTGGTGGGGGGCGTGTGTGTGCAGGAGTGATCACATGGTGAACCAGGAAGCAGAGAGAGAGATGCAGGAAGCACACCAAGCCTACAACCACTCGTTCCTGAGAACTCCCCTCCGAGCACCAGCCCCCAGTGACCTGAAGACCTCCCACCTCTCAGTTGTCACACTTAGATCAAGTCTCCAACTTAGTCCCTCAGCCACCAGTATTCGTCCATTAACTGAACACAAGACTTTGGAGTTCAGATGCCTGCATGACATCCATCTTTGGCAGGCCCAGAGCCAGATCCCTGCTCGCCCCTTCCCTTCCTGCTACCTTTTAATCTCCAGATCTACTGTTTCTTTTCTTTTCTTTTTTTTTTTTTAAAGATTTATTTTATTTCAAAGTCAGAGTTACACAGAGAGAGGAGAGGCAGAGAGAGAATGAAGTCTTCCATCCACTGGTTCACTCCCCAGATGGCCGCAACAGCTGGAGCTGTGCCGATCCGAAGCCAGGAGCCAGGAGCTTCTTCCCAGTCTCCCAAGTGGGTGCAGGGGCCCGAGGACTTGGGCCATCTTCTACTGCTTTCCCAAGCCATAGCAGAGAGCTGGATTGGAAGTGGAGCAGCCAGGTCTTGAACTGGTGCCCATATGGGATGCCGGCGCTTCAGGCCAGGGCGTTAACCTGCTGAGCCACAGTGCCGGCCCCAGAGCTACTGTTTCTTTCTCTGCTGGAGCAAGATGAACCTACTGTCTACGTGGAGCAAACCTTAGAGCTGACTCCCACTGAGCGCAGGCTCCCTTCGTGGGGGACTCTAGTGGCCGTCTAACCTGCCCTGCCCCGTCCCGGGGCTGTTTGGCTGCCATTCCCTGGATAAGGGCAGAGCTCAGATTGCCAGCATTCTCGCTCCTGTTATGCCGCTGTTTTGGGGCAGGAACATTTTTTTTTAATATCCCTATTGTCAGGTCTACACCCCAGGGTTCACGCAATTACTTCTCTGGCAGGAAGCTGCTATGGCTTGGTCAAGTGTGAGTCTGTGAGCTCTTCAAGTCTTTGGGTGATCTCAGGAAGCCTCTGTCAGTGCGCGTGACATGAGCGGCAGGTAACCCCCCTCCTTACCTCTAGATGGTGGGTGTGTGGTGGGGGGAGACTCATACAACACAGCCTTTTCCATGTCTTCCATATAACACCTGCCCCACTTATTCAGTCTTTCAGTCCTTTTCTTTTTTCTTTCAAGATTTATTTTATTTATTTGAAAGACAGAGTTACAGAGAGAGGTAGAGACAGAGAGAGAGGTCTTCCATCCCTGGTTCACTCCCCAGATGGTCGCAATGGCCGGAGCTGCGCCAATCCGAAGCCAGGAGCCAGGAGCTTCTCTCTGGTCTCCTACACAGGTGCAGGGGCCCAAGGACTTGGGCCATCTTCTACTGCTTTCCCAGCCACAGCAGAGAGCTAAATTGGAAGTGGAGCAGCCGGGACTTGAACCGGTGCCCATATGGGGTGCTGGCACTGCAGGTGGCGGCTTTACCCACTATGCCACAGCGCCGGCCCCAACACTGTCCATTCTTTTACATCTCCTTCATTCACTAGTTCATGCAGTCACTTATTTCACAAGTAATTGTTGAGGATAAACCATATGCCAAATATTATTCCCTGCTTGCACAAGGCTTAAATTCTCCTACAAATTCATGGCTCCAGCACTACTCTCCATTATTTTATATTGTTACTCTCCAAGTAATTATCATAGCCGGATAATTACTTCCCTTAACCCGTTGACCCCCTCTTATTTCCCCTATCATCCCCTATAAGTGTTTACTGGAATCCACAAATCCCTTACCCAAGCCAACTGATATCTTTCATGAGAGTATACCCTTCTATCATGTAAGATGCAAAATAATTTTACAGTGTCAGGAAGTAAAATGAAACAAATCAAAATCAAATAAAACATAGTTTTATATTTTCCTCTAATTTAACTTCTCTAAATGCTGGTGGTCATAATTTTTTAATACCTGGGTTTAGAATTTAAATCAAAGCTCTATTCCCCACATTTTTGGGTCTTTAGGAGAAATTAATTCTTTTCTTTCAGGACCTCAGCTGTATTTCTGTAAAATAATTATGTATTCTGGTTCTTCTTCATCCTTTCAACAAATATATTCCAAGCACTGTATTTGACTCTGGGAGTACAAAAAA